AATATATTTATTAAAAATGTTATTTTTATTTAATAAAAATAAAGATTTAATTGAAAAAATTAATATATTAATGACTATTATTGTAATTATCCCTAAATATATAAGATAAAATTACATTTTTTAGGTCGGGTCGGATATTTTTTTACCCTAAACCTGATTTGACCCAAACATCACCTCTAATAAAACCCGACCCGAACCCGATTTTTTTTAAATCTAACACAATCGGATTCAGGTCCTATACCCGTCCCTAGTCAGGGGTTCGAATCCTAGCGATTGCAAATGGAGTAAATTGGGTTGGGAGGGTTGCCCTTGCTTTTGTAGTACTCGATCAAGAATAGTTGATCAATAGGTCGGATACCGGTAGTTATAAAAAAATTCATCATCCAATTATTCTTGTTTGGATTTTAAAAAAAAACTAAAATACCGTCAATTAAACTCATCAAATGATCTCACTGGTAAAAATAAATATTACTCTCCCTAAAGGTTTTTGGGTTCAAGTAGCCACTTATATAAGATGTGTATACATTATTAGTAGGTTAAAAAAACATATACTACCTTATAATCACTCCAAACTATTAAGAAGAAGGTAAATTACAAATTTGATAACTGAACTTTACTCTATCTCTCTTCTATTTCATCCACTGTACTTTAAATCTTTTCAATTTCCTAACACAATTTGATACATTGGGTTTTTTTTTTGTCATTCAAGAGTTTGGTCACTAACAACGTTATGACGTGACTTTTTCGTTGTTAACATATGAGTGACCAAGATAATCAAATGCATAAAGTTTAGTGATTAAATTGAAAATAACTAAAAGTATAGTGAGTGTAATATGAGAGAGAGTAAAGTTTAGTGATTAAATTTGTAATTTACTCATTAAAAAGGGTAAAATACACCATTCCTTTCTTAACTTTACTCACTCTCCTATTTTACTCACTATACTTTCAATTTTTCTAATTTACTCACTGAACTTTCGAATTACTCTTGTTTGATCACCCTAAATTATTTTGTTATTATTTTCAAATTACATGGATTTTTTTATTATTATGTTCATATGACATGGCTTTTTCATTATTATTTAATATAAAAATAATTTTATTATTATTTCAAAGATCGACGATGGTCGCTTGTTATTTTAAGTCTTTTTAGATTTAATAATAAGGAAATATTATTGTATTGTTTATTTTAAATTATTATTATATTAAATAATACTAAAAAATACCAAAAAATAATAAAATAATCCAATATGATTAAAACATGAATAATTTAAAAGTTCAGTGAGTACATTAGAAAACTGAAAGTACAATGAGTAAAACAGGCGAGAGAGTAAAGTTCAGATAGAAATTGTGTAATTTACGCTTAAAAAGTTTAGGTACTAAGATGGACCAAAAACTGATAGTAAGTACTAAAAGTGTTAAGTTTTTAACGATGGGTATTAAAATGAAATAAAAACTAAATATTAGGTGTGATTTTTTTTTAAAAATAAAAATTTATGTACTAAAACGGATCAAACTAATAATTAGGTATTAAATGGGTAGTTGGCCCTAAAATATATAATTCCTTTTAACGGATGGGGTTGTCTAGGAGTTAAATGAATTGAGCTCCTTTTTTTCGGGTTGTTATAGATTTCTGATATGGCCTAATTAACCATGATCTTAGACGATTTATTTTAGGCTTAATGCTTAAATAAGTGTGCAAACTATATTTTTTTGCCAAATAATTAACTATATTTTTTTGGTTAATTTGGGTGCTTAACGTTACAAACGTTAACATTTTAGATATCTGGGCCATCAACAGAATTAGTTTTCCTCTTTGAGTTACATGTGTCACAACCTGATAATTTTGAAATTTATTTTTTTAAAATTAAAATTATTATTATATTTACAAAAAACCTTAACTTTTCTAATATTATAAATCATCCCAAAATCTCAAATCCTAACCTTAACCCGCCGTAGCTGCCCTCTATGGCCACGAACATTTCTGCCGACATAGTCCTTGTCATCATCCTAGTTATATGTCGTCATAGTTGTTGTCGATTCACCATTGGAATCATGATTTTCATCCTAGGGTTCGTTGGGTTTAAAACGTCGATTTATCGTCGGTCGGTCATCAATCGGCCATGATTTCATACGGCTTTTGGTCGCCGGGGGAGGTGGGGTGGAGCTTCTTCGACGGCAAAGGGCCGCGGTCGGCATGGGTTTAAGGGTTCAAATGAAGATTTTTAAAGTTTAGGGGTTATTTCAAAATTTGTGTTTTATTTTTTAAAAATATATAATTTTATTTCTTTAATTTTATATAAACTTTTTAAAATTACCATATTATGAACGTGTTATTTAACGGGAAAACTAATGCCGTTGACGGTCCGGACATATAAAGTGCTAACATTTGTAACGTTAGGCACCCGAATAGAAAAAAATGTTGGCACAAAATGTATAGTTTGGGCCCTTATTTGGGAATTAAGCCTTTATTTTACTGGTTTAACTTCGATTTATTTTTTTAAAAGAGTTCAATCAAAACTTCCTTATCCATATTGAAATTTATAATGTTACTCGATTTGTTAAAATTAAATTATAATAAGTACGGATTAATTATTGGAAGAGGTAAATTATTTAAATTCAAGACAGAAAAAGAGATTCATTAACTGCTTGAATTAATTAAATAAGGTTTGCTATGGGGGAGTAATTTTATTGTCGAACTGCAATTCACAAATTCATCTACACTCATCAACGGAGTCGGATTCTTAAGCGATTAACAAAGCTCTCCCGCGAAAGAAAAGGATTTGAAGGGGCAAAAGCACCCTTGACGGCTTCTATGTTTAGGCCAAGCCGACGAGCTTCTCGCTGACCTCCCATATTTTACGTGCTTTCTCTTGATCGCTGGCTTCCTGAGACAACTGGTTCTCGAACGAAGCCGAAGCCTTGTTCCAGCTCCAGTAGACGCCCGATTTCGTCAAGCTAGGATCACTCGCAACCTGCATTAGAAGCAATGAAACTCCTTACTGCACAGGACATAAAACAAAGTGTCTGCAATGCACAAAGGTCTTTGCTTATATACCTGAGCAAGTCTTTTTCCAGCTTCGTCTTCGGAGACGAACCCCTTGGTGATGTACTTCTGGAATGGAGGGAAGAGGAGCCTGAACAACGGAATGTGCTCCCTGAACAGGCCGGAGGTAGCTATGCAGCCGGGGTACAACGAAGCGAATGTGATGCCGGTTTCCTCATGGAAACGCCTATGGAATTCTTGCATAGTGAGCATATTGCAGACTTTGCTGTCCTTGTATGCTTTTGCACCATCCAACTCTCCACCATCGATCATGGTTGAGCTGTTCAGCCCATTTAGTCCTCCAGCTAGTCCCCTTAGATCCCCAAGGTTTGCCTTTGGAGGTACATTTCCGGCCAAAGTATTCGTGTTCCCTGGTTCATTATACAGAAAAACAACTCAATGTTAGTACATCAATATCACAATCCTTTTGTAAAAAAACCTCAATTCGAATGCATTGGATGCAAATTACCTGTTATGGAACCAACAATGATGAGACGTTTCGATGGATAATCGGATTGCTTCAAGTCATCGAGCAATAACCGCGAAAGAAGGAAGTGACCAAGATGGTTAGTCCCCACACTCAGCTCAAATCCTTCAGCAGTGAATGAGGGTTCCTTGGCAGTTGGCTGATAAACAGCAGCATTGCAAACGAGCACATCAAGAGGCCGGCCGGACTGCTTGTAGCTATCGACGAATTGACGGACGCTGTCGAGCGATGCGAGATCCAAGTGCATGATGGTGTAGTTTTCCTTGGACATTCCAGCAGATTTTGCAGCTCTCTCTGCCTTGAGGAAGTCCCTGCAGGCCATTATAACATGCCATTTCCCAGTTTCAGCCAAGGCCTTAGCAGTGGCTAAACCCAACCCGGAAGAGGCACCGGTGATGATCACACTGCCCTTTCTAATGGTTTTCTTTCCATCCATTGAAGATCTGGTGATTGCTGGAGTTGCAGTGGCAGTGGTTTGAGCCATAACAACCCCCAGTTCTTTGGTTGAATTCCCCCTACAATGAAAGTGAAAAAGGGTTCAATTACAGGCAAAAAAAGCTCTTTCAACAACAAAAACAAAATAAACGCCATTACAGTACCTTGCATCTTAATGCAGAAGAGGTAAAATCAGCTTTGGTTTGGTCAGAAAGTGAAGCTCCAAAGAAAGATGAATCCTTGAAAGAAGCAGCAGACGTTCCCTATTTAATTTCAAAACCCTATACTTAAACCATTGGAAAAAAAAAGGAACCATTATCACCAGTAAAAAAACATGAAAACAAACCTCTTTGGGTACAGAGAAAGTAGATGGAAGCAAGGCAGCAGCTTGTAGAGCCATTGACAAAGTTCTAATCCTTACAGAACCACCTTGAAATGGGTTATTTGAGACAAAGTGCTGGTTGGGCCAAAAGAGCAAAGGAATTTATATAGTGACAGGTGGGAGAAGATAAGATGATTTAGGAGGGTAACTTATCTGCCACATCAATTCAATGTAGCCAATGGGGGTTTGAGATTTTGATTTCCTTAGTATATTTTAACAATATTTGTATTGGTTTAGAAGGGGAAGATATTTTGGGATGGGGCTCCACTTCCTTTAGTTATGGGCTGCTTTAGCAGAGGATTGAAAGGGATAAGGTACATGGAATGCAGGCTTTGGCAGCCTATGGCCAAATAATTACTACAACCTTTTCATTTTGTGAATCAAACATCTATCTTTTTTGCTTATTTGGGAACTATGGATATTTTGATTTTATTTTGATCATTTTTCAATTTGAGAAAACTATACAATTTGATTGTAGATTCAGGCCTGATTTTGATTCTGGTTTGAACTTGAATCGAGTCATAATTCGATTTGAGAAAACTATATCATTTTTCCTTAAAAACATTTTGAATGTTACATAGTAGATTGAGCCTGTAGGGCATAAACTTAGAAGAAAAGGGCCTTCTAAATCTCGCTTGGCTTCATTTTGTAACTCATTCAAGAAAACACATAACTAGCATTGCATGATTAATTGGAACACAAACACCAGTCTTCTGTTATTTGCTTGTATACAACAAACTTCAAAATTTTCTACAGAATTTTGGATTGGGGAAGAAAAGGAAATAAAAATAATATGAATCGAATATGAAATACGATCTATCGCCTATATAGAACCCTTAAGAACATGAAATGGAACTCAAAAAACCAGACAGTGAAGTAATCAAATCGATATCATAGAGTTCATGTAGTCACATATTACTGCAATAACTTGAAGTCCTGGTTTTCTTTTTCAGGCATTGCTTATTTGTAAGTTCCCATGCCGACACCGGCCTCTCGGCCGCCACCGTATGGCTGGAAACTGTTCTCCCTAGCATTTGAGTAGCAAATGTAGTAGAACTTATTGACTATGGCTGTTAAGAAAATGAAGGCTGCCCCTGCACCAAACACTCCTTTCCTCAATGTTTCACAAGACGGAGGCAGTTCACTGAAAATTGTCCGATATTTGGTGTGGTACGCGTTCTGGACCGATCCGGCCAGCAGGTATATCTCGGCTATTAGGAAAAACAACCTGTCATACAGGCAATTCAGAGAATATGTGAAACATTCAAATCTGCAAATTTGAGCATAATAGAGACTAAAACCAGAATTTGAGCTAAGGTGGTGACATACCAGCAAACAATGAAAAGGATGACTGCCCATGCCCTAGAACCAGTAGGGTTCAAAGCCTTTCCACAGCAGAAGCATTGGGTGGCTACCGTTATAAGGGCTTGGCTAGCCATAAGGAACAAAAATGCACCAACACCATAGCCAGTGGCTATGTCCGAGTCATATACACAATAGTTGTAATTAATTTCATTGTCCCGCACAATCCTGGCCTGCAACAAAAGATGTATACCATAATGATATAAGCTTCAAAAACACCAACTTCATGCATAGAACCCTAAACCCAGAAAACTAAATCAACATTTTCCACCGTTTTCAAGCAGAAAATCCCACTTTCTTTCATTTTTCCAGCAAAAAAGAAAGTAGCAAACTTTGAACAAATCCAGCAAAAACAAAATGCATTAAAGAAAGTGAAGGGGAACTCACGGTGCTTCTTCTTTGCTCAGCTGCAACAGCTAAACCAAAAGCGATAAGATCAAGAACGAAGACTGCAATCAAAAGAAGCTTAGAAGCCATGGATGAACACAATGGGGAGCTTCTTTTGTTTCTCTTTGCTTTGCTTTTTCTCTCTGAACTCCCCCAGTCTAAATATACAAAAAATCACTAGCAGGACAGAACAAGCCAGGCAAATTGATTAAAAATGAAGAAAAAAATTGTGTTTTTCCCCCTATTGAAGGGGATGATGCTTAATGGGAAAGTGAAGGTAGTTGGAAGGGGACATTAAGGTGGCTTCATGAAAGGGAACACATACCCGCCATTGTTAACTGCCTTTTGGAAGCCTTGTGCGTGCAACATTTCGTAGCATGACGTACCAACATCTTCAGCCTGTTTAGCGCTCTTTGTGTATGCAGCTTGATATCGCTTAAACAAGGTCTTGAGTTTGACTCTTGTGTATGCAGAGAATCCCATCGAAAGACCCAACCATCAAAACCAAGTGTATGACGCGGGTTGGTCTAGAATAAAATCTCCTATGATTCCATCTATGTATGCTAAATACATATAGACAAGTCTACTAGATATCTTTATCATAGTGATAATTAAATATTATCATTCTAGCAGTTGAAATATTTACATTAATCAAACAAATAAAGTAGTTGATTAGCAAGGTATACAAAAGGAGCATGAAAGCCTACAAAAAATAGTAATGCTTTTACTTCCATTCGAATCATTCCAAACTCTGAACATATATAACGAGAACATTTACAAAAATATCTATTAATGATTGTTTATATTAATTAATTATTTTCTTAGCATTCTACATTAATTTCATTTTGCTATATAAGCTAGTAATTTAATTAAAACAATTCTACATAATTTTCGGAAATTCTGTCCAAAAAAGTAGCTAATTTCAATCTGACCCGTCTCCAACAGTTATAAATATGTTAGAAATTTAAGGAATTAGTGGAAGTTTAATTAAAGCAGAATTATTTTTCAGTTAAACACCTAAAACGAATCAAACACTAACCCTTCTTCTCGATATATATATATGTACACACGCTTCTTGATAAAAAAAAATTTAAGCTTTTTGGGTTGGCAACAATGGAGGCAGTGTTGGACATTGAAGGTGAAACCCAGGCTAAAGATGTGTTCAATGGCAAACCCTTTTTGAAGATTACAAATCAACCTGTTGCTTTGAAGGTATGCTTGTTTGTTTCACCATTTTTATTGAACCAATAGGGGGAAAATCCATTGAATTTGATGCTAACTAGGCTTTGTTTGATTGTTTTACAGTTCATAGATGTGGTCTATACAATCAAGGTACAAAAGTAGGTAAGGTGTTTGGAAAAAGTTTGGTTTCCGGAGATAATGATACAGTGATCTTAAATGGGGTCAGTGGGATGGTTCGACCAGGGGAAATGTTATCCATGCTTGGTCCCTCGGGCAGTGGCAAAACGACACTATTGACGGCATTGGGAGGCCGCCTTGGGGGCCACCTCAAAGGGTCCATAACATACAAAGGCAATCCTTTCGGCAATTTGATGAAGCGAAAAACCGGATTCGTCACTCAAGACGATGTTCTTTACCCTCATTTAACGGTGACCGAAACGCTCGTCTTCACCGCTCTCCTTCGATTGCCTAATAGCCTCACCAAACAAGACAAGATCATGCATGCCGAAGCAGTGATCGATCAACTCGGACTAGTCAAGTGCAAACATAGCATCGTTGGTAATACGTTCTTGAGAGGTGTTTCGGGTGGGGAACGAAAAAGGGTTAGCATTGGTCAAGAAATGCTCATAAACCCGAGCTTGTTTGTCGACGCTGTTGGACCTTGCTAAAGGTGGAAGAACGACTGTGTTAACGATACGCCAACCTTCGAGTAGGCTATTTTATATGTTTCATAAGATTTTGCTGCTATGTGAAGGCAAGCCATTGTATTTTGGACAAGGATCGGCTTCCATGGATTATTTTTCCAGCATTGGATATGCCCCATCAGTCGCCATGAACCCCTTCGGATTTCCTTCTGGATCTTGCAAATGGTATGTTTTAATCTTAATTGTGCATTGATATTTTTCAACAACAATTTAATCTTTGCACGAATCTATGCTTAATTGGCTTGGGAAATGTTAGGTATGCTGATAGCTTATATATCAAGGGTAATCGAGACCGTGGACGGAAGCCAGAGAAGGCAGAGTTTGGGAAGCGGAATTTCAGATCTAGTAATTTATTCTTAATGATTTGATATGATGGATATTGAGCTTAAGTACTAAAAAAATAGACTAAAACAAATTAAAACTGATAGTTTATATACTAAATGCGTAATTTACCCTAAAGAAAAATAAGTGGACAGACCTTAAAAAATCTAGTTGATGGGGTAATCAATAACCGGCTTAAAACATTGAACATCGAGAAGAAAAGATTTGAAACGATGTCCAAACATTTTACACGTTTATAAAATGTGTTGAGATAAAAAAAAAGTTAAAAAATTAACAATTAATTCTAACAATTTTTTAATTAATTTGAAGTAAGTACAAGACAATATATGTTTAAAGATAAACTCTCAACTTTTCGACATTGAACACTCATACTCCTAACATCTATGATGCTCGAACTTAGGTCATTAAAGAATAACAACAATTTCATTTCCACGGAGACCATTTAGTTTGTATATGCAATAAACATAAAGATGAATAACGATAATATATCTATTAATAGAATTTAAAAACTCCACTCATGAGCGGGGAGAATAAAATTTGATTCAACTCAAAAAAAATCATTTCTTTTAAGTTCGAGTTATTTAATTTAATTTCAATTAGTGAGTCCGTCAAGATCGATCTCAAATTTTATCAAATTTAAAAAAATAATCAAATTTCATAGTTTTGTGATTTAGCTCATGATTTCTTTCTTTATTCAATTCTTCCTTCGTTTTAAGTTTATTTTGATCAAATTTAAACCACATGCTCATAAACCTTTGAAGAATACATACTAAGCTATAATTTCTCTTTTTGAAAATAAATTTCCCTTTTTATTACTTAATGCTTTAACTTTGTATGATTTCCTCATTTCTTCAATTTCTCTTTTATTTTTAAGTGTATTTATTACTAAATTTGAATCACGTGCTCCAATGCTACTATAGAATACTTATGTAACTTCAATTTTTATTTTAACAAAAATATCATTTTTACAATTTAGTCCCTCAACTTTTTATTTTATTCAATTTGACCCTTCAATTGTATTTTTTTATAATTTTTTTCTTCTCATCAATTCCTTAACTCCTTTATACTCATACCAATACTTTTTTCCTAAAAAATCTCTTCTTTAAAAATAATATTATAAATATATTTTATACTTCTATATTATTTATTAAATAACATTACAAATCTTGTGCATGTGAAAATGAATACGAAGAAATAGATATATGTATATCTTATACTTGAATTCTATAAAGTTAAACTTGAAATCAGATAAAATTTAAATCATAAAGTAAGATTCATCAACTTGATTAGCTCAAAATTTTTTTATTCATCAAATATTCTCTGTGCTAGTGATATATAAAATAATAATTTAATTGATAACTTTGAAATTTATTATTAAAAGGTGTAGACCTAATTTCCATGTTGGTTGTCATCATTTGAGCACACAAACTTTAGATGCCAGTTCAATTTATACCCATTGCTCTCATTTAACACCAAATGTCAGCACTAACCAAGCGATTTCGGTAGTAACGAAATTATTATTATCCTTAGAGGTTACGGGTTCAAGAATAAAAAATACCAAAAATATAAGCGTTCAATATCAAATTATTAAGAGTTGTCTTTAAACAAATAGTACCTTGTACTTACCTCATTTTAATAAAAAAAATAGATGTCACTTTTTTATATGAGCTAAACCTCCTCTATATGTCCCTTTGACCCATCAAACACTTCAAAACTTTATGACATGCCCTTTCTCCTTCACTACAAGCCTCCACTTGTACAACTTTTTTTTTTTTGAAAGGGACCAAAAATCCAAAAAGGACAATTTAGAATGAATCAATCACAATCTTGGGAGTTGAAATGTATTACATAAATCCCTAATCCTATATGGTATGATTGATTTAAAAGTTGGGTGGAACCATTGCAATTTGACAAGCATCTAAATACATTGAATAATAAAGAGAAAAGCTAAGAAGAATCTACTTCTTTTGAAAACCACTGAATTGTTTTTTTAAGTGCTACTCAAAATGGTCCAACCCATGTAATTGTCACGGGGCTAGACTGCTGCTAGCAAGCTCGTGCGGAGTTTAGCTCGGTCATGGGCTTGCGGTCCGTGACATAATGCATTAAAACTTGTAAGCCATCACATAGAAGTTATTGAGTGAAAGAAAACCCTAATTCAAATAAACAAGAAGAAACCTTGAGAAAAAAGGGTCAAGTAAACGTGTCATGAAATGATATAGCTGCTAGTTTTTCTGTATCATCGTTCTCTGAACTTTATATTCGTCACAAAGATTCTAGCCTAACTCCCACATTTGCATGCAATAGCTGGCTAATACTTGAAATTTTAATAACTTAAAACGAGATAAATTATGTGTTTAGTATTTAAACTATCAGTTTTGATATGTTTTAGTACGTAAACTTTTAATTTTTTTTAAAATCATATCTGAAGTTTAGTTTTCGTTTCATTTTTGTACCATGTTCAAAATTTAACGTATTGTTTAGAAAAAAAATGAAAGTTTAGTTACTAAAACGGATCAAAACTGATAACTTGTGTATTAAAAGCGTTAAGTTTTTAACGACGGGTACTAAAATGAAACAAAAACTAAACGTTAGATATAGTTTTAAGAAATTAAAAGTTTAGGTACTAAAATGGATAATTTAGGTACTAAATGCGTACTTTAGCCTTTAAAATATTAAATGTAGTATAAAACTAAACGTTAGGTATAATTTTAAACAAATTGTTGTTCTTCCTTGAGGACCCAGGTTCGAGCACCATAGATGTTAGGGGTGTGAGCGTTAAATGTCGAAAGGTTGAAAATTATCTTTGAACAGATACTAATTTGTACTTACTCCAGATTAATGAAAAATAATAGTTTAAAAGCGATTTTTATGTATTATGATAGTAAATATTATAAATATATAAAAGTATAAAATATCAGTAAGTATTGATCGTAAATCACAGTAATTTTTTAAAGCGAGATTTTGAATTTAAATTTTAGAAATAATATTATTACGGATGATAATAAAAAAAAAGATTCAATATTAAGAGGGTCAAAAGGTTTAGGGACCAAATAAGTATTTCAATAAAAAATTTGAAGAGAAAACTTAATTTAGTTAATATTCAAAATATTAAAGGCCTAAGAACAAATACACCAAAAAATAAAATTCTGTTAACATTTCGTTTCTTTTCCTAATATTTAGATTTATTAATTTATAGTACGAATCAAATAATCTTAAAAATTAAAAAATTAATTATTATTTTTAGAAGTTTAAAGTTTAAATATGTTATTAAAAATAGATATTTAAATATTTATTATTAAATAATTTAAAATATTTTAAAGAAATGTCATCTTATTATCTTATAATAACATTTTAAATTAATAAAAGATTATTATTTTGCAATTATAGTTTATGAAAATTTCAGCTACAACCTTTTGGGCATATGGATCCAATGGAAAACAAAATGGACAAAGGACACGTGTCTCAAGGATTGACGACTCACTTTTGTAGGTTTTTGGTGATGGTTCACGCACCATTTGGGTCGGATAAGGTCGGCCGCATGATTAAGCCACGTGGCAGTCATTTAATGGTGATAAAAATAAAGACGCATACTCTCGCTTTCAACACTATCCGTTTCTTCTATTTAAATGCCTTCCAATCCCAATTACCCAGAAATAAGAAGAAAGAACCAATTTTTCTATTTAAATTTCCTGTTTGGTTGTCGAGAAAATGGGAGTGCCGGAAACTGACCCATTGGCGCAACTGAGCTTGCCACCAGGATTCCGGTTCTATCCAACGGATGAAGAGCTTTTGGTGCAATATTTATGCAGGAAAGTTGCAGGGCATCATTTTTCTCTGCAAATCATTGGTGAAATCGATTTATACAAATTTGATCCTTGGGTTTTACCCAGTAGGTTAAATCGAATCCATCCCCCCTTTGTCTACTTATTGTTAAACGTTTATTCGTTGGCTAACCAAAAATATATATTGTTTTGCTTAGGTAAAGCTATATTCGGTGAAAAAGAATGGTATTTTTTCAGTCCAAGAGACCGGAAGTATCCGAACGGATCACGACCCAACAGAGTCGCCGGTTCGGGGTATTGGAAAGCTACCGGAACTGATAAAGTTATCATGAGTGATGACCGGAAAGTTGGTATAAAGAAAGCTCTGGTCTTTTACATCGGAAAAGCACCTAAAGGGACTAAAACGAATTGGATCATGCATGAATATAGACTCCTGGGGACTTCCCGTAAACACGGTAGCTCCAAGGTAATATATTTTTAATTATGTGTAAAATAATATAATGGCTTGAAGAATTATTGTTTACTTATGTGTTTTTTTATTATTTTGTAGTTGGATGATTGGGTTTTATGTAGAATATACAAGAAGAAGTCAAGTGCTCAAAAATCATTTTCAAGTTCAACTGTTCCGAGCAAAGAGCATAGCTACAATGGCTCATCATCGTCTTCTTCCTCCCATATCGACGACATGCTTGAGTCATTCCCCGACTTAGACGATCGTTTCTTTTCTCTGCCACCAGTGAGCTCATTGAAAACGCTTCAGAATGATAAGAAAACGGGGTTCCACAACCTGGGTTGTGGGAATCTAGATTGGACGAGTCTTGCGGGGCTCAGCTCGGTGCCGGAGTTGGTTCCCAGTGGACAAACCCAGACTCAGGGGATTCCGAGTTATGGAGATAATGACCTGTATGTCCCGACGATTCGGCCTACATTAAGCCAGATGGATATGTCAACGAGTAAAGTTGGTGGCTCGGTCGAAGAGGAAGTACAGAGTGGACTCAGAACTCAGCGAGTTGATAACTCTGTGCTTTTTCAACATAACATTAGAGGGCTGATGACCCAGAACTTCTCTAACTCAGTCGACCGACATGGATTCCGGTACCCGACTCAGTGGAGTGGGTTTGGTTTTAGGCAATAAATAATAGATAAAAAAACAATGGTATAGAATACGAGAGGAATTTCAAAATTTTGTGTAATGGTAACAAAAATGAAAATCTGAAGAAACTGACGAGTTGGTTTATTTAATTGAGTTAATAGTTAATAATATTTTATTTATTTATTTATCATTATTTTACAATATATGTCTGAGATTTATAATATTTTTATTAGTAATATTATTTTTAAAATTTAATTTTTTATTAATTTAAAGTGATTATAAAATAATATATATTTAAAGATTTTCAATCATTGAATAATTAATGCTCAAATACTCTTATATGTTTAATTCCGATAACTCTAAAGATAATAATAATTCTTTAATGACTTAGATCGCTTGACTTAGAATATCACATGTCGTACTCAGAAGTCTTTTTTATATTTAAAAAGCAGTTCAAATCCATTTCAGTAAATAAAATCCAAGTAACGGTAAAATGTTGATATAACGATCAGAAAAGTTTATGCGGTAAATATACAGGGATATTAACATCCGAAAGAAAAATATTAGTAATACACATACATAAGTGGTAGCAAAACACTTGTCATCAAAATATAACAAATAAGATGTATAAAAATATACAGTGATACAAAACAGAGAATAGTCGATCCTCCTGATGCAAGTTTACTAGGCTATTGTCGAGTAATATCTGAAAAGTTAAAAGAATCGACGAATGAGCCAAAAGCCTAGTGTGCTCCTTACGGTGTATAAAAGCATACAAGTAAAATACTTCGGTAAAAGTTACATATAAAATAGGTTTTGAAAACATGAACACTACCTCATCCGAACACCAGAATGTGTAGGTTCCCCTGAACCGTACACCCACCTGTAGACCCGGTAAGGACCTTATACTAATAGTATAAGGGCCTGCGGTAAAGACTTACCTTGTGCACAAAGCAAGAGGAGTTTGCGGTAAGGTCTTACAAGTCATAAACTAAACCTAAGATACTTCCTCCAATCATACCCCTAATGATAATAAATGTGCATGTATTTGAGTAAAATCAATAATTTAATCTATTAAATATTAAAAAAATGCCATATATCATAACCAAATACAAAAATATGGTAACCATAGATCAAGCTAGAAGCATTCAGTAACTTAGATATCATGCGGTCGGAATATAAAATCAAAATTTTTAAATAGTTTAGACATATAGTTTTAAACAGTAATGTAACATCAATAGGAACACAATTGTACCAATCTGAGAAGTCTGGGACAGTAACCTGCTCTCAGGTTTGTCTATCCCGATCAGCAGCAGTGCTAGATCCTATGAATCATAATAACTGAATCAGAATCCTAATAAAGTAAGTAATAAAATTTAATCAAACAATTTATGGAAACCTACGAGTAGCTCTCGAAATACATGGACCAAACTGATCTACCGGGAGGGAATCACTTGATCTAGCCGACCCTCGAACAGGGGACTCACGAGTACCTTCATGAAAATATAAACTCAAATCAATTCTATAATCAAATCCCAGATAAATAAGTAGAAATGCTAAAAATACTAAGCATTTTCAGTTTAACGGACTCGATTTGGGCCTTTCGGGGTCAGAATTTGGCGAAATGGACACAATATCGGACTAAGAACATTGAAAAATGTCAAGAGAGAGGTTTTCAAAAAAGTTAACGATGACGGTTCGATTTGGCGTAACTCGGCTCGATTTGGGTCGATTTAGTTGGGCTAGTTTAGTTTGGGGTTTGGGCTAGATGAGTCGAATACAAGATAGGTAGCGGGTCGGATACGGGTTACGTTAACACGCTTTCAGACGATCCACCAGGTGGTGGACGATCCCCACATGCAGCGACGATGTGTGAGGGCGTGTGCAGTTGCGTTTAGCGATTGGAAAAGTTCTAAAAATTTTGAAAAATTATTTTAAAGTATTTTAGGGCGTTTACCTCAATCGGTTCACAACGATGAATGACAGAGAGCTCGATTACGCTTTGCTGAAAACTTGAAGTTGCTCACCCCTTTACACATCGACTACGGAGACAACACACTGACCACCGCTAGATTCGGGACTATGCACTGAACACAAAGGTGAGGACGGTGTTGAAAACGGAGTAGCGATCGACAATGAATCAATGGTTGAAGTATTTTTTGGCTAAAACTTGGGGAGGAGATAGAAAGAGATGCTTTTGGGTTTCCAAAAATGGAAACTTGTAGTAAAAGGGGTTTATACACAACAAAAATGGTGTAATTACACTATAAGTCTTCCAAGTTTTGGAATTTTCTAATTTTGACCAAAATTCAATTTAATCCTTGAAATTAAAATTAAGAAAAATTGAAGTCATAATTTGGAGTGTGACATATCTTTTATTATATTTTAATTTGATATAATTTTATAAAAATATTAATGTAAGTTTTAATAATTTTTACATATTTTCATATTTTGATAATTAATATTTTAATAATGAAATTGTTAAATTTTATGTTATATTCATTATAGATTATACATGTTAAATTTTAAGTGAATTAAAAATATTTAATTAATTAATTTATATAAAATATTAATCGAATTTAATGTTATATATATTTCGATTGTAACAGCCATAAATGATTATACAAAAGTGTTTCGTGTGATCTTTGGTTAGTACTTCGCTTTTAGTCTAGGACATTGAGTTTTTATATTTAATTTTCAATGATAAAAAAATATCGTTATCTTTAAAAAATTTAAATTTGAGTAATTGTACTTACAGAATTTGTATATGTTATTAATAGATTAAGAACATTATAAACATATAATACCTTATAATCACCTCACTATAAAATAAATGTCATAAACCCATAATGATCCAAAAATTTTAAATTAATTTAATTAAAATCATCTTACTTAAAATTAACCTAATTCATCCGATTAATATATTATTGCAATAGATGACTGAGATTAACTTATTGTAATCTTAACGAATATTTATTTATTTTTCACTTATTCAACTGTGATAAATCTAAATAAAATCAAAAGAGTTTTATATTGTTTAATAGGATCTTAATCCTTATCCCAAATATAAATATATATATTTTTAATGATATTAAAAATTATGATGTCTTATATCGATATTTTATTATTTTGAAAAAATTTAAAAATAAAAATAAAAAACTAATATTGATATTGATATTAATATAGTATTATTTAACTCAGTCTAAAATATGAAAAATTGAAATTCGCAAGCAGCCAATAGAAACAAGAAAGCAAAAGTAAAATCAAATTGGAATTCTGTTTCTAAACTTTTCTTCTTATGTTTTGGTGGTCTCTATCTTTAAATATGATTTATCGCTTTCTCATTCAATATTTCTTTTTTTTTAGAGGAAAAAAATAGCCAAGAAACCCTTCACACTAAATATTGAGTTCTCACCTTTAAAATATGCAAGAAAAAATATTAAAAAAAATATTTTTCCACTTTATTTTATAAAATTTCTTGTTAATTTTAAAAAATTATTTATTTTAAAGACTTTTGAAAATTCAATTATCTCATAAATATATATTTTTTAACAGTATGAGATGATTACAAAATAATATATATTTATATTTTTTTTAGTCATTGATAGCGTACACGTACCTAGAGACGCAACTGTTTGTGTTCAAAACTTACAACAATATTCCTTTTCATCACTAGAGTCGCTTGATGAGTTCGCGTAATTATGAATCTTTTATAGAATACATAGGTTCATTGCATGAAATAAATGTTCCTAAACATCTTATGTCTCTATTATTCCCTTTCCAATGAAAAGAAAATAAGATAAATTGGATATGGGGATAGGCTCTTCAATCACTTTCAACAATTGGTGGAATAAATAAAATAATTTATGCATGACCATTTACATACTGAATTCATTTAAAATGTGGAAAGATGAAAGACACATTCCATTTGCATTTTGAATTCTCTATTATTTTCTCCCATGTTGTTCAATTATTTAATTTCCATTTGTATAATTCTCTTTTGTATCTTTTCAATTTTTTTAATTAAATTACACAACACGAATTTATTGAAAATATTAACAGAATTACTGATAGTTGGATAATCAAAATAGAACAAAGATGATAATCGTATATTAAGCGTATAGTTTACTTAAAGTGATAACCGGATACTAAACGTATAGTTTATCCTTTTATTAAAAAAGTTGTCTCACAAATTTATAGGGAAATCATAACTATCCTATTGGACATGTATAAAATTTTCTGATTGCATCACCTTTGCTAAAACAAGTTTATTTTGAGTTTCTGAACTCGAATTGAGGTCTTTTAAGATGCATTGAAAGTCTAACTAATATTCGATTGTATCGTAAGAAGAAACATTGAGTTAGAAATACTCAGATCTCATCCAAAAATTCATAATCAAAAGATTAATTTATTGATTTTTTAATGAGAAAGATTAACTTATTGTCGTAACGTTTATTTTTCGAAACGAAAACGGTTTTTATTTTAAAGGGGTGTAAAATTTGATTTATTTTAAAAGTCGAATAAAATTTAAATTAGAGCTACCATTGACCTTTGGGTTAGGTAGACTGAATACCTAAAAATATTTTTAAAATAATTTAAATAAATATTAAAATCATTCTTAAAACAAGATTTGATCTCCGTTTACTAGAAATTCATTTTTAAGGGGTCGAAAATCAATTACGCGCAGAGAATGGTAAGCACCCCCATAATGCCCAAAATTGATGGCTAATCGCTTATACATCATTGTGGCAGTGGAATTAAAAATGTTAAACTCAAAAATTATTTCATGATTTATTTTATTTTTGTTAATTAATTTGTTTCGAACCTCAAAGAATATTCTCGATTCTGAGAATAGATCACGATATTTGCATGTCCTCCATCGGGAAAGATATCCCATCTATCTCTTCCCTATACGGGAATATTCCTTCGTTATTAATTTAGGATCTTAGGTTAACCATGAAATAGAATAGAAATTAACTGATTAAAGCATCATATAAAAAATAAACACATATGAGGTTTCTATTAAAAGTATAATTATTGCCTTAATTATTTATTTATTTATTATTTTTTAGACGTACACGATTATTTTCAAGTTCGCTATCGTTCGAACGTCGCATTGAATCGTACTACCTCAATAGGTCACACCTTTCATGTCCATTCTACAAGATGAGGTCTTGAAAATTAGTACGA